TGTGTGTGTGTGTGTGTGTGTGTGTGTGTGTGTGTGTGTGTGTGTGTATGTGTGTGTGTGTGTGTGTGTGTGTGTGTGTGTGTGTATGTAAACCTCTTGTAACTTTTGAACGACTTGACCGATTTCATCGCGGTTGGTGTCATTCGAAAGGGCTTCACTAAACTTAGATTTCCTGAAAATTTGAACCGATTCGGACCGGTAGATTTCGAGAAAATGCAAAAAAAGAAAAAAAAAGTTGTTTTTTTTTATTTTTTTTAAATATCTCCGAATTGGCTGAACCGATCGGTCTCAAAAACTAATCAGCTCTTAACCTTGAAACCCCTCATCGATCGCCACCAAAAACGTTAGAATCGGTTGATGCGTTCGTGAGATATCGTTGTCGAAAAAAATCGAAAAAAGTGTTTTTTTGTAATAACTTCGAAATTCATGGCTCGATCGATTTAAACTTGAAAATTTTTCATGGAGCTTCAAAAACTGCGTCAATTGCCGCCAACCGCGTGAAAATCGGTTCATTCATTCAAAAGTTATTGCCGTTTGAAAATTCAAAAAATTGTGTCTTTAAACTGCTATTAGAATTTTGAGCTCGAAGAGCTCAAAAACGTAATGTGTAGTTTGAAGCGTTCAAGTACAAAATGAGCGGGAAGTTGCAGGGATGGCCTTTAGGGTGAACCGTTTTTCTAATTTTTTTAAATTTAATTCTTTATTAAAAAAATCTCGGTTTAGTTTCAAAAAATCACGTCGCCAACGTTGGCGCTACTTTCCAAACCAAGAGAAAGATTTACTTGGGATAAGTATATGACATTATTAGTTCAAGAATAAATTTTTTGAACTAAAATAGCAGAATAACTTGAAACAAGAAGTAAATTTTGAAGAAAATGATTTTCTTGAGTCAAGATGACTTTTTTTTCTGTGTAGAAGTATTTAAATACATAATACACACGCTGTTAAAATTTAGAGACGATTTACCTCGTCTAACCGAAGATAATTGCAATTGAAAATGATTTTTACACAGGCGGTATGGGAAAAGAGAGAGAAAACCGCGAAGTTTTATTATTTTTGTATTGAAGAAATTTTAAGAATTTCACGAAAAATTAATATTACTTAGATTAATACATGTATATTTACCCTACAAAATTCTGAAATTCCCTACCACATAGTTTTTGAGAAATCATTGATAAACTAGTAAAGTAAACAAATAAAGTCATGCGTAAAAGTAAGTGAGCAATAGCCCGTAAGAGAGGCGACACTAGCGAATGAAAAAGACCGCAGTAGCATAAACTATAGGTTGGGAAAGAACTAGCTTAATTATTAAATTCATGGTAAAAATTACCGAATTGTACTATATAAACGTGGGACATTATGGTGTGGTCTTACCATTTGTTGGTAATAGCGATACTTTGTTCAGGTAGATTTTATAGGAACTAGACTAGATTTAACGTGCTTGCGCAAGCGCGTGCCTGAATATAAGGATATCATTACATATATTTTCATATTTATGATATGTTTGATCAATCACACACTGAGAGACAATTTTATTCAATAGTAATGAAATTTTCTTAGTATATAATAGTTATTTATGTACCTTGGGCGAGTCACGCGCCAATACGGTCGAGGTGATAAGTATTTTCAGCAGGGATAGTATAAAGCCGAGGCCCGATAGGGCTGAGGCTTTATATCCCTGCTGCAAATAATTATCTCCGAGACCGTATTTGCGCGTGGCTTGCCCATGGTGCTTAAAAAATTTTTCGTCCTATGGCGGACGTATGCGGGTTTTTGCGTGCAGGGGAAACTCAATTTGTAAATAAATAGCGTACGACGCCATAACCCTCTCAATAAAAATACATGAAAGTCTTGAAGTTAGTCATAGGTAGAAACTTGCAAAAACCGGGCCACGATTCATTAGTGGTTAAAATTAATTAATTCAAATTTCTAATAAATATTAAAATGTAATTTTATTGTAATTAATAGTTTAAACGCAGTTATTTTAACATATTTTTTAATAAATCGCAATTTTATAATATTAAAGTAACAGTTCCCCGAGTTAAAAAAATTGAGATCAATGAACTTAACTGCTATACTAAGACTCGGTCAGTGGTCGATGCCAGAGATATTTTAAAGCTCAATCATCGTGAAGGCTCCACAGTAGTTTTCAAACCTGATTTAACACCTGCGCAACAGTCTCATCTCAAGGATCTGCGTTCTAAACTTGATACACTAATAAAAAATGGTGATACAAGCAAAACCATCAAGTATGTCCAAGGTGTACCGCAGATAGTAAACAAAAATTTTCGCCCGCTCAGTGAGAGAGAAAAGCCTCAAGGCTCTGCAAGTTTACTATCAAAACACACGAGGCCTCCGAACCAAGCTGTCCAAATTTCTGACAGCAACCGCGGCCAGTAGTTTCGACATAATCTGTATTACTGAGTCGTGGTTACACTCGTCGATTCGTGATGGCGAGGTAATTGATAACACATACACTATTTATAGAAACTATAGAGACCCAACACTCTCAGGACAAGAACGTGGTGGTGGTGTCTTCATTGCCATTAAACGCCACATTCATGCTGATTTAATACCCATTGATGATTGCAACCTGGAACTCGTCTTCGTTAAAATTAAAGATACTGTATCTGATATAATCGTTGGCTGTGTTTACATGCCTCCTCTTACGTCATACGAAGAATACCATAGTCTACTCACAACTCTTACACACGTTAATGAAAAGTTCATAAATGCCAAATTACTACTTGTAGGTGATTTTAACTTGCCAAGTAGCGTCCCTCGAGCTGACTGTGATAAATCTGTTCATGATGGTCTCGCTCTACTGGAATGTACTCAAATAAATAGCCTATGCAACGACAATAATAATCTACTGGATCTCTGTTTTAACAACGTTGAAGCCAGCATTGATAAAGCTCTACCATTCGTTCCAGAGGATAAATATCATCCTGTTTTTACTGTGTACCTTGAATTTCAACCTAACCTAACACCTCTTAGCCCAGCTACTTACTCTTTCAAGAAAGCTGACTATCATAACCTCAACACTTTCTATCATCAAGTCAACTGGATTGAACTATATGAAACTGACACCGTAGAAAACAAAGTCAAATGGTTTTATAGCAAGCTTGAAGAAGGCATTTCTCGGTATGTGCCTGTTCACAGAAAGTTTTTTAGTACTTATCCCTGCTGGTTCTCTTATGAACTCTTATGAACAAAATAAAGCTTAAGAAATCAGCACACTCTCAATACAAAAAAATGAAAAATCAACAGAACTACACCCGTTTCAGTATACTGAGACGGGATTGTAAAATATTGTGCCGAATGCTACAGAAATTATGTTGACAAAATCAAAAACATGGTCCAGACTGATACTAATGCCTTCTGGAAGTTTATCAAGGATAAAAAACACAACAATACTGACATCCCTTCTTCAATGTCCTGGATCAACCAATCAGCATCTACTGGACAAGACATTAGTAACCTGTTTGCCTCATTTTTCAAGACAACATTTTCCTCGGATCTCAACAGCAACCATCTCATCAATGCCAATGCGAATATCCTGAAAGCTAATCTGAACAGTCTAGAGGTCAACTATGATGATGTTCTCAAACAGCTACTTAAACTAAATCCTAATAAAGGTGCAGGACCTGATGGGATTCCGAATATATTCTTGAAGAATTGTGCAACAGAGATCTGCGAACCTCTCACCCATATTTTCAACAAATCCCTTCAGTCGGGTACCTTCCCTAGCGTCTGGAAGTTATCATATGTGTGTCCAATCCACAAAAACGGCCAGAGATCTGAAGTGTCCAATTACAGGCCCATCTGTATCCAATCCGCACTGGCTAAGCTTTTCGAAAAACTGGTCCTCACTCAACTCACACAAGCTTTCAAAAATATCATCACGACAAAGCAGCATGGATTTGTGGGTGGAAGATCAACTACGTCAAATCTTTACTCGTACACTAATTACCTACTCAATGCGTTGAATGATGGACTTAAGGTACATTCCATCTATACGGATTTCAGCAAGGCGTTCGATCGTGTAAATCATACAATTCTCATTGCCAAACTTAATAGTTACGGTGTGGAAGGCACCGCGTTAGAATGGCTCCATTCATACCTGGCTGACAGATTCCTTCAAGTTAGAGTAGATGGCTATCTATCAGAAGAGTATGAGGCTACATCTGGAGTTCCACAAGGATCTCACTTAGGTCCCCTCCTCTTCAATATCTTCATCAACGACATAGTTAATAACATACAGTCTGAATGTTTACTCTACACAGACGACCTGAAGATTTATAGAACCATCTCCAATGATTCTGACATCCAGCTTCTACAAAAAGATATTGATATGCTGTCTACCTGGTGTACCAACAATAAACTGGACCTCAATGCCAAAAAGTGTGCTGCGGTATCCTACTCACGCGCTCACAATAATATTATCACTAGTTACAAACTCAACGGTCAGAATCTACCAGAAGTTTCGGACGTCAAGGACCTGGGAATTTTAATCGACAACAAACTCACCTTTGAAAAGCACATTGACAAAATAAGTCTGCAAGCATTCAAAGTTCTGGAACTCATCACAAGAACTGGGAGAGATTTTCTCAACCCGTACTCCCTGCTTAGTCTGTATCGCTCACTAGTCTTACCAATACTAGAGTACGGTGCTGTCATATGGTCACCATACACTGACACTCTCATTAATAGAGTTGAGAGGGTTCAAAACAAATTCTGCAAGTCGTTGTCGTTTCATCCATCATTGAGGCCGCAAAAACTCTCCACCGATAGTATTCGCTCTCTTTTCAAGGTTAACAGCCTAGTTGATCGGCGTCAGGTTGCAGACCTAGCGTTTTTCTACAAAGTTGCGAATGGGCAAATTGATGCACCTGAAATCCTCAGCAGCTTTGAGTTTGCCCCCTCTATACTATCACTCAGGCATAATCGCCTATTAAAAACGACAAAGACACATAAAAATTACGTCTTCCATGGGCCGCATAACAGGATCGCCAACCTCGTCAACTCTTTGCACACAGACATCAACTTCTACGGTGGTACCTATCAAGCTTTCATCACGAATACCAAAAACAAAATACTTCCCTATCGTTGATCCAACGTTTAACATATTAACTTATTACTGTAATTAACTTAATTTACTATTCTGTCTTTTTTTTACTTTAACCTACTGTTTCAACACTATATCTTTCTCTACTCTATATATATATGATGTATAAAGCCGATAGGCGTCTGTTTTCTAATAAATAAATAAAAAAATTACAGTTTCAGATTGTAATTATTACAGATTTTATAAAAATTACATTGTAAAATGTAAGGTTTACATTGAAAGCTCTGAAAATTAACATTCAAAGTTTTTATTTAGAGAAATGTTAAATTTTGAACTGTAATTTTTCTAGTTTTTACACGCTTTTTATTAGCTTCACTTGTATGTGGGGTATTCCATGCCAAATCGACCACTTTTGACACCGACCGTTTTCGATTTTTCTGAAATTTTGGTATCTTTCTCTACTCTATTGAAAACAATTTTCAGAATTTTTTCAAATTTTTTACCCAACCAAAATAAAGTTACGAGTTATTACAAAAAAACAGCTTTTTTTTTTGTTAAATAACCGTAACTTTTTTGAAAATTGACTTTTTGGGATTTTTTTTTTTTGAAATTTTTGTTTTTAAATGTACTTTAAAAAAAAACATTGAATATGAATCCGAATTATTAGTTTTTATTTTTTTTTTTAAAGTACATTTAAAGACAAAAATTTCAAAAAAAAAACATCCCAAAAAGTTAATTTTCAAAAAAGTTATGGTTATTTAACAAAAAAAAAAGCTGTTTTTTTGTAATAACTCGTAACTTTTTTTTGGTTAGGTAGAAAAATTTGAAAAAATTCTGAAAATTGTTTTCAATAGGGTAGAGAAAGATACCAAAATTTCAGAAAAATCGAAAAGGGTCGGTGTCAAAAGTGGTCGATTTGGCATGGAATGCCCCTTATATACTTTAATAAATTAAATTGACCAATATTAATTGTTTTTTTGAGATTATTTGTTTACCTTCAAACCTTTTGGAACAAATACAAACTACGCGTATTAATGATAGCAAACGAAAACGACGCTCGTGGTTATTTTAATAAACACATATTAGTATTTAAGAAAGTTTTATTTATATGAAATATAATTTTATTAAAATTAACTGTTTTTTCTTTTTTAGTCTAAATAAACTTTTTTATTACTATTAAATAAAATTGGCTCTCAGTGCATAACGAATAAATTGGCTTCACATATATTTTATCTCAATTTTATCACATTGGGATTGGGCTGATAACAAATATAATTTTCTTTCTAGTTTTATTCTTTCTCCTTACCTATAGATGCAGCAAAAATAAAATTTCATGAAAATTGAAGCTCTTGTTAGGTAGATTTCATAGAAATCAATCTTTTGCATTGATCCTCATGTCGGAATTTTGTCGTAATATCACTTGACTAGTCGAGTAAAGCTCAAAAATAACGTTAGTTAAAGAATTTATACATTAATTTATTTATTAATTTAACGCGGAATGTTGCCGCGATTGTGTCTACAGTTCTTGACGGATCTAGATGAAATTTGTTACATGGATGATAATTGTCTTTTATCAAAACGAAAAATCAAATAAAATTTACTCAAATCAAGAAAAATTTCTTAGTTTGAAAATTTTTTTACTCCAATCAAAAAGATGAAGTTCTTCAAAATTATTCACTTGATCCAAGTAAATTTTTTTTCTGTCTATAACTTACCGGCATATTATGGTATATATATATGTCACTGATGTCAAATTTCTACTTAATAATTTTGTTTTTCGCATTTTCCGGTCAAAGTTACAGAAAAATTAAACGTTAGTTTTTTTCAGACAATTAAATTTTCTACAATAAAGGTTCTATGCATTAACGTGTTAAATATCTTTTTTTTAAAAGATACAGTGTATTTTATAAATTAAATTCAAAAATTAATAAAACTTGCTACATGCTTTAGAAGCAAAAAAGTTTGGAAAATCCAAAAGTGCACGCCTCATAATCTCATTTTTTAAAAGAAAAATTGATTAAAATAAAATATAGAAAGCAAAATAATAAAAAACAGAAAACACTGCCATGGTTTAGTGGCGCCATAAGTGCAAGGTGAGTAATAAAATACTATAATACAATGTATAGATAGAAATACAAAAAAATCCAGTCATATATTAGTTTTTTATAAATAATAATTTAACGACAGTGAATTAAACGCTCATATTAACTAAGAAATTCTGTCGTGTGTTACTTTAGATAATTAAAAAAAAATTATTCCGGTACGATCATTTTTTCGACTAATTTCCCTGCCACATACACCCATTCATACACGGACGTCCAAAAAAGATTATGTTTAATGTTATTATTTATTATGTTAAACAAAAAAATTGTTATTAAAATATATTTTCTGTGCCTGAAAAATTATTTGACTTGACATAAGTGTACTCATTTTAACCTGTTAGTGCGATGTAAATAACAAAAAATCAATTTCAGTTTCGAGAAAACTGCTTTTTTCGAAATGTCGAGAGTAGAGCACAACCTCAACGCTTTGCTTATGAGGCGTGCGATAAAAATAGTCGTTGAGAATGAATATCCCCAATGATAATTTTTTTATAAGTGGATAAGAAAATGGTATTTATAAAATTGTAATTATGCAATTAAAATTATCGTGCAATCATTGGGTAAATATAATAAACATTATTCAAATATGAAATTTTATTTACAACCATCATATATTAATACAGAAGTTTGAAAAATGACATCGAATATCATAATCATTACATAAAAAAAAGTACATCCTAACCTGCACTATAATACTGATTAGCATTATTGTTTAATCCACTCTTCTTAAAACTAATTATCCCAACAAACAATTGACTATCAATAAAAGTTACTTTACGCTTACAATTACCACTTAGAAAAAATTTTTCGCAGCTTACTTTCTACTTTTTAAATTGAACTCTATCTACGTAAAACAAAATCAGTATTCAATGAGAAACTCACATTCCTTTCAGTCGTGTGCTTATGGGTAAAAAAATTGAACGTATTAATGATTTAGAGATATAATTTTGAGTTTATCAGCTGACGTTAGTTAATTTGGTCGTTTCATAGTCAATTAGTATTTCGCAGCCGAGCGCACTAACTAAACCGAGTGTCAAGGTGATTAAGTTTAGGAAAGGGGTTAGGTTTGTAAAATGTTATGTAAGAGAATTAATATATTTATACTCATGTGTTAAAGTACAGTAATGTAATAATGCAGTTATAATGGCAGTAGTGGTAAAATAGTGGTGGTGGTGAAGCACCAGCGGTAGCAGCGATGGTGGGTTTGTTAGCGGTTATAACAGCAGTCTGAGAAATATAATTCCACATTGTTGTATTTATTACCAACATACTGTGATGAATAATTAATGAGATAAACTCAACGTGTTGGAATTATATACTATTTCCCATTTCGAAGACCCTTTTAGCCTCTCTGCCCTCCTGTTACGATGGTCCCGATATTGTTTACCCTGTTTTATCTTTTTGTAACCACAATTACGAGCTTTAAAATTTTTCAATTAAAAAAAAATTATTTCATATGAATATTGGGTTTTATTACTGGTTTTATGGCACTAAACTAGATTATGATGCACACGCAACCGACTTGACAATCTTTTTTCGTTGATTTTTGGTAATCATTCACTAACAAATATTTTTTGATAGGACAATATAAGATAAGTTGTGGTTACAAATTATTATGGTAACATAGAGATAACAAATTATATGTTTTGCTAACAAAACATAGGTTATATGAAGTTATTTTATGTTACATCAACAAAACAGTTTTGTTTTTGCAGTGGAATTCGTTAGTTAATTTAACAAAACAGTTTGGCTAAAGTAAAAAATTGGTTTGTTGAAGCAACAAAATTGTTTCGTCGAGATAACAAATATTTTTGTTGCTGTAACATAAGCTAGTGAGTTGGTGTTACAAATATTGTTGTTGAAGTAGTTACATAATTTTGTTAAAATAACTTATAATAGCAGCAACATTAATCAAAAATTAATTTGAATCAAAAAATACATTTTAATCAAAAATTAATTGTAGTTGAAATAACAAATTGATTATGCGGTACTACAAACTGATTTTTTATTGCAACATGGCTCACTTTGTTAAAATAACTCAATATTTCACAACAACTGAATTCATTAGGTACTACAAAACATTTTTCTGTAATCCTGTCTTTTATTATTAAAATAAAATCAATTTTATAAATGTACAGCGCATTGACCAATTTATTTGAAAAATGAAGCTCTTCTCGCAGTGAAAATTTTTTTTGCCATATATGGCCAATTATCACATGTGGTCATGTATGGATTGATATGGGCATATCAATTCTTATGTAAGGATATATTAAGTCATATTAAAAGTTTTATATGAACATGTCACACCATACCAAACCAAATATGGATCAAATGTTTTGTATGGCTATATATAGACACCACAAAATCTTATGAGGCTGTTTGACAAATTTGTTCACTAATTATAAAATTCATGATCGGAAAATTTTACTGTAATTACAATCTATTTTTATTCACTTATTCAAAATTAACTTAAAATTTTTAGAACCAATCAAAGTTCAAATTTAATACATCGAACTACACTAAATTGTATCATTTATTCATAAATTACAATGGTTCAATCAATTTTTCATATTTTGAAATTAATTTAAGCTCGTTGTCATGATTATTAGGTTCCATATAATCACTTTCACATATTCAGTTTCTGTTGTTCTGTACTTATTGCGAATCATTAACCAAAAAGAGTAAATTCAGGGGAGTCATATTAACGTATCAATCATACATCATTAAATATCTTCAGGCTTCATTAATTTTGATTAGTATATTAATTGCTAATCTTATGATCATGCATTATTCTGAAGGATTCATAGATGATTATTTGATGACTTCGAATGGCTAGAAATGGTCAAACATGATCATAATACTCATTTGTTATATTACAATTGACTATTCAGGCATTCTAATGTATGATCAGACGTAAGTCATCCATGATTACATGATAACGTA